GGTTATTTATTTTTTGTTTAGTTTAAAAAAAAATGCAATCTTGTTACCTTTTTTAGGTGTCGCTCCACAATTGTCCGGCTTAAGTACATCAACATTTTACAACGACGAACTTTCGATAGGAGACACAACAGCTACCATTACGACCACTGACAACGATCAAGAGGACATTGGAAGCTTAACACTGACATTACAAACATCTACAACTTATTTTGAAATTGTGACTGGTTCAAGTAAGTTAATTGAATACCGTTTGTCTAGAAATACAATTATCGAAATAATTTTCATTTTGTATGTTGCCAAATCGGTTTTACAAAATAAAACATCAATAGCAAATTGAAATATGCATGTTGTTTATATATATTGTAGAGACAGTACATTTAAAAAATGAAATTCTAAAATTATGAAACTAAAACTATAACGCTACCATGACTTGAAGTGTCTGTATTGACGTTACAAATTCTTTTGATTTTAAAAGATTTAAATTGTCTTAATAACCATATATATTTTTTTTGAATTTAAAAATCCATAATCGTAACCAGAATATATATCTCCTAAATGATACGATATTCCAGGGCTTTAGTTTCATATCATGATTTCTTTTAAAGAGGTTGCTTGCAAGGAAGCTATTTTATCAAGGGTTCCAAGTGATAAAATTGAAGTCATCCCTTTGAAAGTTTTATGGACGCGATCATGATTTGGTTGACCGCTATGGAATATCTGTGTCACAGATGACTGCGGATACGTTCCAATTGTAGTAACCACAATCCCGTTTTTCTTTTCCTGGCAAGTGACATTAAAAAAGTCGACATATGACCGTATATTTGCTTGCTTGAGTAGCACGACGGATGCCACAAGTGGAGTAAGAACTGTTATCCTTCAGGAGCACCTGAATGTTTAGTGGTCTTCGTTAAGTCCAATTTTAAATTTGTACTCTTGGTATCTTCTATTTCATGTTTCTTTTTTCTACTGGACTTTTGCATCATAGTATTATGTGCCAAGAACCCGCTTGTAGCTGCTCCTTTAAAATTCTCGTAGAACATGTATTTAACTGTTCTGGTCAGTCACTTTTAATAACATTAATGTTACCAATTCTTCTGTACCAGATGCGCATATCGACAATAAATGTCTTTTCAGTGATGCTCGAGTCCAAATTTATTTGAAAATTCAAAGCTTATTAAAAAACGAAGAGCTTATAAACACGATAATTCAGGGCATTCATTTTGTATTATGATTCCAAGTTGCCGCCTAAAATGAGACTAGCAAACAAATGAATCTTAATCATTGCACAGATTTTTCGGCCTCTGTTAAGAAAACAGTATTTCAAAAGGACAAACAAAATCTTGATATCCCACCAACTTTCATGGTTTGTAAACGAGTCATATCAAGATAGTCCATCCTTAATTTTTCTTTTTAAGTAGGTAATTTTGTTTTATAGAACCAAGCTTGATTATTCTGCAAACTAAGCTTCCAATTCCCGCGGGCAAAGTAAATCTTTGACGAATTTAGCTATGTTTGATATCTCTTTTGAACATATATCTCCTAACTTTTGTACATGTTTATACATCTCTTGTTTTCAAATGTTTAAGTTTGAGCATACCTGATGTAGGTTAATCAAGAAAGCAGTTCGGACACACGAAATCTATAACATTTTAATTTCATTGACTATGTCATACATTAATGTAAATGGTATATCGCACATTTACTTTTTGATAGATGACATAACAGTTAAAGCTGTACCGCCTGTTGGGACTTATACTCTACAACTGGAGGTCGAGGATCCTTGCACTTTATCATCAACTGATTCAAAAACTATAACAATAAACAACAGAGTAAGTATTTACACAGTTTAATGAATAAAGACATATATTTTTGAAATGAAGAAAACTTAAAATAGTTATAATATGCAATAATATGCAATGTGCAGTGTTATGTACTCCTCCTTGGCATCTTTTTATTTAAATACCGCATCAATTGAATTTGGCAGTAATGCACATATCCACCCGTCCGTACGTCTAGCTTCGTTTGTTTGTCCATCCGTCACAGTAATTTCCGGATGATGATTAAAATACCATTAGACAAATATATAAAATTTTAACTCAATCATAGACTTATGAATACATTACTTTTTCCATTTTTGATGGTTTTGACATTAGCTGTACAAGAATTATGACCCTTAATTTTGAGAAAAAAATTGGATTTCGCGGTTTTCCAGATGATCTTTTAAGTACCGCTTGACGAAATTATTTTGAAATTTCAAGAGTTTGATGGTTTTGGATTGACTATTTCAGATTAACATGCCATACTTAGCTAAAGTACCACTTTACACATTTTGTGTAAAATTTTGATACTATGTCACGAATCACTGATGACAGACCATACACGACTATTTTTATTTTGATGGTTCTGAAGTAAACTGTTCAGGGGTTATGACCCTTAGTTTTGTGAAAAAAATGGGATTTCTTGGTTTTCCAGATTAAAGATTAAAAAGAATAAGGTATGCATATCGATACAAAAGTGCCGAGTACCTGAGCTGATCTTTTAAGCTAAGGTCAACATTGTGCAACTACTAAGAAGCAAATAGAAATGTTTACTTGTGAATAAAACCTTTTGTAAGGAAATTTATTCACCTTTTCATTTATAAGTACTTGTACGAATATATTTTTTTTTCTAAAAAAGTTCATCGGAAGAGACCTTGCCGCCTTGTTGATAAATATTCCGTATCAACCTCACAAATAATACATAATGGTCTTGGCGTGGCTCGGTACTTATACAACTGATAACGTGTTATTGTGCTATGGTCATTTTTTGTATTCTTGTCTTTCCTTTTTGCTTATTTGCTTTGTCTATATGCCATTTTGTTTTCTTTGTTGACATATTTGTTTGTTTTTATAGTGATTAAGATTATAACCTCATGTTGACTGCTGTACCCCTACTTTTGACATTTTTACCTATTATGTGTCTGTTTTTATCATACATTGTTGTCAATATAATGAAATTCTATGCAACTGTCATACAAGTGAGAGGTTTAGCTAGCTATAACACCAGGTTTTCCACCATTTTCTACATATAGTAATGCCTGTACCAAGTCAGGAGCATGACAGTTGTTTTCCATTCGTTTGATGTGTTTGAGCTTTTGATTTTGCCTTTTGATAAGGGCTCTCCGTTCTCGGTATATTTGTTACTAGTATTTACTTTTTATCCAATAAATGCATTTGATTTTTTTTCCAGTTTTGTTATCAGCATAATCTGCTAAAAAGTAAAAATTGCACTTTGCCATTGTGCATTTTGCTACTTTTAATCAAATGAAAACTTACATACGGACTTCATTAGCATTGGCTATGCTCTTAACACAAAAAATGCACCAACATAATTAACCGAAACGATAGGTATATGTCGCAATTCACTATCGATATGTTTTCGCAATCTCAGATCTTAAGATACCAAAATAGTTGTGTCCTTTTCCCGATTGCTACATTTTGATTGAGTGTTGTTTCACATGCATTGGGGAGTCATGCATGCAATGCAGGTTATTTTTTTGTCGACACACCCGGTCTCGCCCCTTTTGCGATTCAGTCAGTTTTGTTTGTTACCTTGGTTTGTCTTCTGAATTGATTTATATTGATTTAAACATTGGTAAACTACTGTAGCCTATATGGCCAAATCAAAATAATTTCTTCCAAGCATCTGATGCTATGGAAACAAGTATAGCATGTGTTGAAGATATCTATCTTCTTATTGAAGACATATTGTAGGACAACCCACTATTTAAAGATGATTACATATAGATATGGTGCTGTTGATTTCAGGGAAGTTCGATGCAATCTGCATTTTGTTCGGTACTGGCATGATTATTAACAAAATTTTCTTAAATTCTCTGCTGATGAATTAAGAAATTATTAAGAAGTAAGGTTTTAACTCCGTCAGGCAAAATTTACCGTAGATGAATTTGGCTATTTTATTAGGCCCCTTTTAGTCATATTTTTCTGCATGTCTTATGTCTGATACATCCTTGGCTTATGAATGTTTGGATTTGAGTGTTCCTGAAGAAGATAAAAATCCAGGAAAGCGCTTCGGACGCAAAGTAAAAATGTTTTCCCCTTACCTCGCAAGTTATTCTTGAAATATTTTATTCTAGTATTTCTATGGCATTTAATACAATAATTTAAGAAACATTTGACACAAAGGTTAAAGTGTTTAATATCAAGTTCAATTTAAAAATGACGTTAAAAAAGTTGTAATACTACTTACTAAATGTATTTTTGAATCCAAAACAGGATTTCATAGGAACTGGTTTTATGATACGAAACGTAATTAGCCTTAGCAAAAAGAATCCAAAGCTCCAGCGGCTCTTTTCACAAAAAATCTTAAGAGTAAAAAAACTCGTAAGTCATACACATTTCAGTATAACTTACGATCAATATTAATCGTAAGATTTTTTGTGAAAAGAGTCGCAGCATTTAAATTGTTTTACACTTTTCGGTGTCTTCGTTGTCAAGGAGCGATAAATGCATAAACCTAGACATGGAGAAACTTAGTTATAAATGTGTTGGTGGAAACAATGTTGTGTACAAAAAAGCCTGGCTATAAATAAAAAAAAGCAGTACCCCTCTATTAACCGACCAATACCAATAAGATTTTTTTAACGTTTATCTGTGGCTTTAATTAACAAAGGAAAGCCCAATCCCTTTTTGGAAAACTTATCAAAATGATCTTCTAGTATCTCAAAAACATTTTGACATGACTATTTATTTTTAATGGTTTAAATTAAGTGTTTCTGAATAGCGTTTAAAGCAAAGTATAAATCAACATTAGCCCACATGCCAAACACATTTATAACATAAGAACTTCTTTCGGATTTTCATATCCCTTGTGTCGATAACCGATGGGAATCAAGTCAAAATTAAACTAATAGATAATTCCAGCAAGTCATTCAATATCGTCCCCTTAGTTGTGTATGAAACCATCACAATACTCCGTCTGCATTGATTTTTCAGCCACCTGTAATGAACAACCTTCCAGGGTCTGTATCAATATCAGAAGATACAGCGGGTAGTACGTTAGTTTTTACAATCAATGCCACAGACACAGTTACTGATCCATTAACTTGTATAAATAGTGGAAGTTCAGTAACATTCTCTGTTACAGCCATACCATCAACTACAGGTAAATTTTCTCTTTTTCAACCATACAATCATCTACAGGTAAAATATCTCTGTTACAACCATACCATCAACAGCAAGTATAAATTCTCTGTTACAACCATACCATCAACTACAGGTGAAATTTCAAAACAAATCTGTTCATACAATAATGGTACAGAAAAAGCAACTTCTTATAGGAGTTATTGGCCTAAAATGACGATTTTTACCTTATTTTGCCGATTAACTTGAAATGTACCATCGACCGAGAGAACATTTTCAGTGCTATAATGATCAGCACGACAAGATCTACAAATATGTCAAACAGGGCTTAAATCGTTGGAAAATTATAACCCCTAAATAACGATTCAACAAATGTTTTTGCCTTTCTGCTTATCTTAAAAACCATAATAGATAAAGAGAAAATTTAATATGCAAAACGATCAGCAGTACATGATCTTCAAATTGTTCAACATAGCCGTATCGTACTCATAGGAGTAATTGCCTTTAAGTGACAGTTTTTACTATTTTTTGCATTTTTGATCAAACATATAGATAAAGAAAATTTAAACAGCAAAATAGATCTACAAATTAGTCAAGATGGCCGAAATAGTTAGTTGACTTCTCATAGGAATAATTGACCTTTACTAATGATGACCAAGACAAGATCTACAAATAAGTCAACACTACTAAAATTATAAGTTGTATCCATATAGGAGTTATTGCCATTAAGGTGATGTTTACCAAATTTTATGTGTTTTTTCAAAAACTATAGAAAATAAAGGGAAACTGTTTGCAACACAATGATCAGCTAGAAAAAAGCTACATAAAGGCCAACAAAGCTAAAACAAAAAAAATTACGTTCTTTGAAAAGTTATTAGCCTTTGAATGACTATTTTTACAATTTTTTTTTGTGTTTGAGCAAAAACTATAAAAGAAAGAGAGTCAATGAAAACAGAAAAAAATATCAACTAAAAAGAGAACTTGGTCATAAATAAATTATTCTAGTCTGTAATATTGGAAAAAATTATCAACTAAAAAGAGAACTTAGTCATGAATAATATATTATAGTCTGTATTATGGTAGGTAGCCATTGCTGAACATGCACATAAATACAGGTGAGCGACACAGGCACTTTCTAGCCTCTTGATTTTTTTAGAATATACATTTCAAGCAATTACTTTTTTCAAACTCATTAACTTCTATGTTCAACTTTAAGTTGACTCTTATCTTGGATTGAGTAAAAGCTGAAATCTTTGAAATTTCAAGGGAAAAATAAGTTGTTTATAAAATTCTATTAGTACCGATTATAAAAGTAAAAAAAAAAACAACATATAATGTTGATCTGATCGACAACGACAAGCTAAAATTTCATACATTTGAAATAGAGCATCAAAGTTAGAACTGCTTTTTGACTTTGTTTGACAAAAGGTCTCAAAGTATATATAATTTTCTGTTATTGTTCATTGATTGGCTTAATTAAATTGTACATTTATATACGATGGAAGATCAAACTAGACGGGAGACTAAATATGATTGCATTTCCTTTTTAAGACTATGGAGTTTATTTAAACGCTGGAATTACACTCGACTACGACACCACATCAACCCATACAGTAACTGTTGAATGTAACGATGGAGATGACACAGTGGATGGCGCATTAACAATTAATTTAATAAGAAATCAGGTGATGTATTAACTATTTTTTTGAAATAATCACTCACCTTTGAAACTGGAAAGAAAAAGGTCATGGTCACATGGATGAAAATGTCTGCTTGTAGAAGTAGAAGACTGTATATATATATTGGTTTCTGTTTGGTATTAAATTAATTGTTAAGATCCATTTTGTTACATCTGGTGATCCGTTTATTTGGCAATCGCCAATGGCAGTCAGCAGGGTTTAAGAACATCCGTTGTTCGACCTGCTAGTCAAATGCGTTTTGTTGAAATATACTTTTTCACTTTTTTGGTCTTTTGGAAAAAGTTGTTTGTGCTGTATTTAGACCCCTCTACCAAGAAATTTGTTTTGCATGCACACGTATAAAAATTGCGGTTTTTATCCAACGCAATCATAGGTTTGAACGTTGTTTTCAATTTAGACTTGTATATATATATATATATATATATATATATATATACAAGTCTAAATTAATATATATATATATGTATCTCAAAATATTCTTTTGGGTTTGTGCCACATAAATGTAAATGTAGGTAAGAAGTCAAACATAAGTTTCCTCAACTGTCATGGATCATTCAGTCACATTGATCGAACAAAACTGATTGTAATGTTAATTTTGTATCTATTTTAAATGTTTGACCTGTATAGAAAATGGTTAAAACTAAGGGAAAAAAATCAATTGAAAAAAAACATCTTACTCGCATACTTGAATACTTGAATCAAAGTTTTTTCAAAGATCAAATTGGACTTAAAAAAAAACCATTTGCACTTTCAAAAATGAGCCTTATGTCTTGAATCCTGCAATGCATGTTTGAAATGTAATAGACAAGGTCCTTTTTTTGTTTCATTATATGTATAAATTTATTAAGTTAATAAATATAAAATTGCCATCAAACACTACAGATTTCTTGAAAGTTTTATTGAAATTCAGTCTTGATTAAGAGGAATAACAGAAAAAAGAATCAATATACATCTCAGTTAACTGTGAAGTGGTAGTTTTATGTAAACGATTCTCAATATTAAAAATGTGGCTCTGAATAGCAGTTAATAAAAAATATAAACTAAATCATTTTGCAGCCGCCAGTCATTCAAAATTTACCTGATACTGCAAGCTTTTCAGAGGATGCCATCACCAACACCTTGTTACATACATTAACTGTAACAGATGCAGAGAGTGATACAATAACTTGTACGCTGAATCCCACTAGTCCTATATTTGATGTGTCTCCTATACCTCCTGCTAACACGGGTAAGTTATATAAATATTTGACTTTTGAAATATGCTAACTTTGATCGCGTTAACATCTTAATTTAGTTCTTTGAAATTCTTATATTAAAAAGTATGGCTTCGAATCCGTCAGGCAAAGGTCACCATAAATTGATTTGTGTAAATTTTAAGTCCATTTTATTCATATAGTTCTTCAACTATTTCAGTTCTTATACAGTCTTGTTTAACAAGAAAAGCGCTTCATACGTTTTAAATTTATAAAGTGTTGTTTTCGTTTTTATATGATTTGCATAATGATGAATCATTTCTATAAATTGGTTTTAAGCGCTTTCGGGGTTTTTTTTTTGAAAGGATATTTATGATATACCATATAATGATAATGAGATATGGTATGTTCGCCAATGAGACAGCTTTTTACCACAGTCCAAATGACGTGAAGGTAAACCACTATAGGTCACTGTATGGCCTTCAACAATGAGCTGACCAATACCATAAAGTCAGCTATGAGAGGTCTCGACATGACAAGATCTAACACAACATGTCATCTGTACTTATTTTGTCACCAATATGGAAAAAACATCACGAAACGGTATTAACGATTGACGATTGTTGAGAAAACACGAAATTACAATTATAATAAATTTCGTTAAAAAGTTTTTAATTTTACTTTTCCTGTTAAACCTTTCTGAATGTAAAATGAAAATAAATGTGGTGTTATATAAGCCCTTTACTGCATTTATTTACATCAGGAACTCTCAAATCCCAAAAAATCGTTAAACCAAGGAGTGTATATAGCACACATAAAAACTAATAAAATCAAATACATACAATAAACACTAGCCCTCTGAGTAAGTACCGCTGACTTTAAGATTTCAGTTTATACGTTATATGATAAACTAGCATATTAAGTGTTCAGGTCACTTATGATAACCTTCCGTCAGGCGGGTGATTTGGTTTTCTTTTCAGTTCCCTTTGTGTTGAACGCTTATTTACGGTTATTAATTTTGTCGAAACTTAAGGTTTCAAGTATACATGGAGAACTTAAATTCCAGAAACACGTTTAGTGCACATTTCAATCGTTATCAATTTTTTTTAAATTGAAAAAAATCGAAACTGTTATTCATGAATGTACTAATTTGATTTCAATATTTTACATAGCATATGGAATCTACCTGACAGGAGGGACAACATTGGATTATGATACCACTGCCTCTTACTCACTGACGGTAGAATGTAGTGACAACAGACGAAGTGATACTGGTACCTTTACTGTCAATTTGATACGAAACACTGTACGTTTTTAAACATAGAAAAGAGAATGATGAAACTCCTTTTTCTTAAATAAGCTGCTGTTGTTTCTTATATGGAAATCATTAAAACGAAATAAAGAATATGGGTTAGAATGAAAAAGTTTCAATTATCGTTTAGACAAATTGTTTTCATTTTAGTATTTGATTTGGATAATATGATAATGAAGGGAAATGATAATATGAACAGCAGTCAGTAAAATAATTGAACACTAAGAGTAGTTGCTTTAGTTTGGATAATTGTTGAATATGGATTAAAACGGGATTGGTTGGAACACATTTTTATAGAAAAAGATATACTATTATAAGAAACTGGTATTAATGTGATGCATCGTGAACGCATTTCGAAAATAAGTTCGAGTTAGTGGAGCTCAAACCCAAATAATTGAAATCTATTATGTATCAAACATTTGAAAACAATTAAATAAAACTTGGAGAAATATTTGTATTATCCTTGAAAATATTTTACCTAAAATATAAATCGAAGGCAGAGCCTTCGTTTGCAAGTTCCCTGAGTTTTTGGTGATAAACAAATAACTTCCAGAAACATAGATAAATGTGGGGACTCCTTTGTATTCTTTTACAAACGTAACAATAGATGGTTTGAGAGGAGAAAAGTAAAGCTTTACATGAATACATCGAAAACCTCTGTTGCTATTAGGTCAAGGAACAGTAAATGGGCTATGTCGCAGATTTTAATAAAATTTTGCATACAACTTTGGATCGTTGAACGATTACTGAAAATCGAAAAAAATAATGCATTTATCTCTTTTGTTATCTGATACATACATTTCTTTTTTAATGATATGAAATAATCATATGGTCACCGACTTCGTTTTTTGTCTAATAATCAATCTGTTACCTAGTTGGTATTGTAAAAATATTACGTTTTACTGCCTGCAACGCGATGACGTTACAATTATTTCGACGTTTTGTAGGATGTTTTCACGTAGAACACCACCTTGAATGATGTATACCGTAAAAAGGAAGTCGGTGACCCTATCATTATTTTACAGCATTTAAACGGAAATTTTTATGTATCAACGACCTATAGTTTTTTAAGAAAAATCTATGTATTAGAAATTAGAGATTTAATGAGTTTAAGTCAAATACAAAAAGGTTTTTCGCCGATTTTATGTGCTTTCTATACAATTGCTCATGTATTTTGAAAAAATTCAATCAGTAATATTTCAGATGATTAAAGAGATAAATGCATTATTTTTTCGATTTTCAGTTCAAAGAGCCAAAGTTGTATGCAAAATTTTAGCAAAATCTGTGACATAGCCCATTTAATGTAACTTGACCTTAAGTAATGTATTACAGAAGATAAACGAAGAGCAGAAACACTAAGGATTTTCTACCCCAGGATAAGATTATTGTAGCGGTATCTTGCAAAGCCATTTGGAATTTAAGGTCCTCAATGCTCTGCAACTTCGTAAATGACCTTTTTACTTTTTCTTTATTCAAGCGTCATTGATGAGTCTTTTGTAGACGAAATACGTGTGTGGCGTACAAAAGTTTAAGCCTGGTATCTATAATGAGTTTATTGATTATTTTTTAGCCACCAGTTATACAAAGCTTACCCAATTCAACAAGCCTTATTGAGGATGCCAACACCAACACCTTGCTACATACACTTACTGTAACAGATGCAGAGAGTGACACAATAACTTGTATGCTGAATCCCACTAGTGCTATATTTGATGTTTCTCTAATTGCTCCTGCAAACACTGGTATGTAATTTACCTAGTTTACAGTTAAAATTGAACTTTTGATATGGGTACAAAAACATTTTGCAAACATTTCATTTTTTTTTCGTAGACCCATATTCACATACAAAGCAAGTAAAAAGACACTATTTCGTTTTCGGGGTACCCTATCAAAAGAGTACAAAATGTTGGAAAAGTGGAACACGTTTGCGGGTAAATTAGTTTTATTTTCATATCAGTAACTGCTATATATGGAGAAACTAGATAGGTGTTTTTCTGCGGAGTTCGATATTTTTTGTTATTTTACTTTTTGCAATATTTTACACAGTATATGGAATCTACCTGATAGGAGGAACAACATTGGATTACGATACAACGTCCTCTTATTCACTGACAGTAGAATGTAGTGACAACAGACGAAGTGATACTGGTACCTTTACTGTCAATTTGATACGAAACACTGTACGTCTATTTTTTTCTATAAAGAAAACATCTGTAACATATGAATAACAGGGGATATGGAATATACGTCACAGACAGTAAACCAATTACTCTTTCTACAACCACCAAAAAGGTCCACCAAACCCATCCCCCCCCAAAAAATAAAAAACAGGCTTTTTCATACCGTCTTCCACAATAAAGAATTATATAATTGTTTATCATCCACGAAATTGCCAAAAAAGTGAGAAAATGGAAAAAAAAAACACGCTGAACACACATTTGTAATTAAGATCAAATTTACTGAGAACGTCTGCTTTGCTCAAAATAGATTTCACTAATCACCACTGCTCAAGCATTTGCTTTATATGCAGAAAGTTGTTCTTGACTAGTAGTATCAAATACCGGAAATAGAAAGTACATGGCAAGTATTTTAACCAAAGTGAGCATAAATTAAAAAGGGTTAACATTCATTGGAAAACCTTTATTTTAATGAAAGAAATTTCTGTTCACAATATATTCTTTTTGTCAATTTTTATGAATGAGTATCATGAGTACTTATGGTACAAGGGTTTTAAAGTTGTTTCAACCTTCAATCATTTTATTCAATTCAAGAAAAATATATTTATATTTTGTAGCCACCAGAAATAAACAGTTTACCAAATACAGAAAGTATATCGGAGGATCTCAGTACCAAGACTTTAATTCATACCCTAAACGTAACGGACGTCAACACTGCCGATATCATCACATGCTCATTAAACTCAAACAATGCTTTATTTGAATTAAGTAAATTACCACCTGCCTTAGGTTTGTAGTTCCTTTTACGATATTATCATTTTTTCCTGTTGTCAATATTTGAAAGCAGTAGCATATGATGTAACACCGTAATACAAGTTTGGAAAGGTAAACATCGCGTCGAGTTTAAGAAAAATTACTTCAGTTCTACGCCTAGGGAGGGGCTATACTTCGTTACTTCTATCATCCCGTCTCATTTGATTTGCGTCGTATTTTTCTAAGGAACTACAAAAGGAGCTTCATGAAATTTGGTACCAATCTTTCTTTGAGCATACTATATCGTATGATGTCGATTGCTTCTCAGCTTCATTATTTAAAAACAATAGATACTACCAAATCGAGGCAACCAGACTTGCTTAGGTTTGAGTTGATGCCATTCACTTATGTTTTATTTTCTTAATTTTATTTAAATAGTCTTTTAGATTACTAATCAAAGCAGAATCGAAAACGTGTATAAACCTAAGTATGAACATGTCATTCCTTGTGATGCCATTTCACATCAATTGCTCAGGATTTTCTACCTCAAGAATAGTTTAGCTGAGCTGTATTTGGTACAAGCGTTCGGAATTTTGGGTCTTCATTGCTCTTCAATTTTGTCCTTTATTTAGGCTTTCTTATTTTCATGATTCAATCGTTATGGATGTGTCATGTAGATCGTCTGGCGTACAAAATTATAACTTGGCATCTGTGATGATGTCCTATCATTGAATAACCCATATTTCAGCCAATACTTACATCTCATATATCCCAGTGAACTTGAAATTAAGGATACTACTGATACTAGAAGGACTGCTTCATACCTTGATCTTTTCCTCAATATTGACACAGATGGACGACTTCACACGAAAATCTATGATAAACGGGACGATTTCAACTTCCAAATTATCAATTTCCCATTTCTCAGCAGTAACATACCCTCTGCCCCTTCGTATGGTGTTTACATATCTCAGTTGATACGTTATGCTCGTGCATGTTCACACTATACGGACTTCATATACAGGAGTGTGCTCCTAACGCAGAAACTGCTCCAACAAAGTTATGAGGAGGACAGATTAAAAATGACACTTCGTAAATTTTACGGACACCTTCACGAATTGGTTGATCCATACGATGTGTCTTTGTCCAAACTAACTAAGGACATTTTTACCACGTGTTAGATTGTGGTTTGACATTACGTCGTCTGATCTTTTAATTACCGAACGTGACTTATTCCCGATTGTGACTGTTTTGCTGAGTGTGAATTCGCATTGCTATAAGACGTGTCACGGTACTTTTCTATCCAAAATTCATGTATTTAGTTTTGATGTTATATTTGTTATTCTCATCGGATTTTGTCAAATGTCTTATCGTTTGTAGTTGTAAATCTTATTTTTTTCTGTTGTACTCGTGTGTTATGGTAAAGATAATTAATCACCCAGTTCATTTATTAGATTTTAGTTTGGGTCAACTAAATTTATACGATATATTTGGTTTACAGTTTGATTTAGAAGAAACACCGACATAGCTAGATAATACAATTAATCATCTAATTACTACCACAATTTTATATTAATTAGTATTGTAATTTTCATTGTTATTAATAAATGTTATATGAGTATTACAAACCTAATCTTGAATTCGATCTTAATTCTATCCTATTTTGGGGAAATTTTTAGAAATTCAAATGTGACGTCACTTTGTGCGTTGATCTCTTTGGCTAACTCGGCTGTGAATTTTTATGTGCTGGTTTATGTTGTTTTATGTATCCGTTTTTATTCTGTAGTTAGTCACCACTTCGGTGTTATCATGTATATGTCATTTTTATAAATTTTCTGTTTGCAAAAGTATGAATTATTCTAAATAATAAGGATGTTCTTATCCCAGACAGAAAACCTTAGCCGTATTAGGCACAACTTTTTGGAACTTTTGGTCCTCAATGCTCTTCAACTTTGTACTTGTTTTGGCTTTCGATCTTTTTTGATCTGAGCGTCACTGGTTAGTCTTGTGTGGACGAAATGCGCGTCTTGCGTATTAAATTTTAAACCTGGTACCTTTTGTTAGCTATTATTCGTATGTTTCTCTGTCCTGTATGTTCTCCCATTTATTTGTATTGTAGTCCTGTCATGTAATGTTGTCATTTTAATGTTATATTTAACATTGCCATAAAAGCGGGAGGTTTGGCTAGCCACAAAACCAGGTTCAACCCACCATTTTTTCTTAAAATGTCCTGTACCAAGTCAGGAAAATGGCTATTGTTATCTTATAGTTCGTTTCTGTGTGTGTTGCATTTTAGTGTTTCTGTTGTGTCTTTGTTCTCCTCTTATATTTGATGTGTTTCCCTCAGTTTTAGTTTGTGATCCGGATTTGTTTTTTCTCAATCGATTTATGAATTTCGAACAGCGGTATACTACTGTTGCATTTATTTGGACTGATATTGTGAAAATAATTGTATAAAGTTCGAGATTGCATGTTCGTTACGTAAGTGTGTCAGTGTTTTCGATGTCCTGTGGTTTCTGTCGTTGATGGAAGATGTTCGTTGTTGTTCTTCGGATTGCGTGTTGTGTCGACTATTATATTATTTGTTTGTGCGTTTCTCTGTGATTAGTGTTCTTGCGTGTGTTTTTACTGTATTTCTGTCGCGTAGTATTTTTTAACATTGTCATAAAACGGGAGGTTTGGCTAGCCATAAAACCAGGTTCAACCCACCATTTTTTTCTTAAAATGTCCTGTACCAAGTCAGAAAAATGGCCATTGTTATATTATAGTTCGTTTCTGTGTGTGTTACATTTTATTGTTGTGTTTCTGGTGTGTCGTAGTTCTCCTCTTATATTTGATGTGTTTCCCTCAATTTTAATTTATAACCGGATTTGTTTTTTTCTCAATCGATTTATGAATTTCGAACAGCGGCATACTACTGTTGCCTTTATTCATCATCAACTCTTTGTTACCGAGCTGTAACGTCATTAGCGAGAAATTCATCACAGTAAATCTTGTAAGAATCAATTCTGATTTTTTTGTATATAATTGTCGCTAAAGGGCATGTTCAAATTGTCTTAAAAATATTCTTTTGTTTTTCTTCTTCTTCAAAGTATCCTTAATGGCTGTTGTGTCCTAAAATTATGTTTAATCATTTGATTCAGGGAGGTTTCAGTTCAGTGAAATAAGTTTCATGTAACAAGTTGCAATGTTTATCTTCTATTATACAAAAAGCAATTTTAAACAATTTATGCAAAATGGTTAATATTATGTATGGAAGAACACTTTCTTATTCGATCGGATGAAAGACACGGATACCAAAGTAAATACCTTTATTCGTTTGAAATTATTTAAGTCAATTAGCCCAACGTTTGTATTAGGTTTTTGATTTTAAAATATTTTGACCTGGAGCATCCCAGAAGAGACCATAAAAATGCTCATCTTGCGCAGTAAAACTGATACAATTCACATTATTACAAATCTACATAACCCATCAAAAATCTGTAAAATATATATACCTTATAGTGTTATATTTTACAGATGAATACGGAGTATTTCTAAAGGGAGGAACGGCTCTAAATTATGACACAACACCGTCTTATTCACTTGACATAGAGTGTGGTGATCATCGTAGAAATGTCTCTGGCATCCTGACAGTTGATATCATTCAAAATGAGGTAAATAAAGGCAACGGTAGAATGCCGCTGTTCAATAGTCTTAATCCAGAAAAAAAAAATAAGGAAACAATTTGTTGTGAAAAGAATATTAAAATGAGTTTTTGTAAATCGATATTATTATTGTATGCATGCAAATTAAAGATTTATAATATCGATGACCAGTTTTTCTCATGCATATTTTTTTTTATTTTCGGAGGAATGATTTAAAGATAACAATATGAGACTTTCCCTGAATTGTCTACTCTGTATATTACTTTAAGTTTGAACAATAGAAACTTGTTCGTTGGTTCATTTAGAATAAAATAAATCCGTTTAGTGGTATTTCGAGTTGTTGTTTTTTCAGCCTCCAACCATTGTTAACTTACCAATGAGCTGTGAGATACTAGAAAGCATAACAGCAGAAAGTCTATTGTATACCGTATCTGTTACAGACCCGACCAATGACACAGTAACATGCACTCTGACAACAGTCACTACTATGTTTTATTTGCAAATTGGATCAAATCAGTATGGTAGCTATTCGAATTATAATTCACTCCTTCAACTTCAAATTGTAACATTTGTCATTGTTATTTCACGTATAAAACCATTGAAATAAATCAATACAGGTTGACGGAAGTAAAAGATAAATAAACCTTTCAGTCTATAACAGCATTGTCAACTTAAATCGACTGAAATTTTCCATAAGGTTTGAAAGTAGTAACAAGAAAAAGTTAACAAACATTTAATAGAAATTATTTGCAGATGGTTTTAGTTTGTTACCCGGATTTGTTTTTGCTTAATCGAATTATGACTGCGAGATACTACTATTGCCTTTATTTATACCTAAACGATTAGTATTGTAAAACAACATCGTGATTTCTTAAACTAAGTTTGACAATACGTAAAGTGTATGCAATGTACGATTTGATATTGGTGATACTCAAACCAAATATTTTAAGTAATTTAACTTTCCAAAATTTCGCCCTCAAGCTAACGTATTTAGGGTTTATATTCTAAAAACAAATTTCGTGCGAATTTAAAATGGTATCATCTCACGTTTATTATTTTTTTTCTGTAAACTACAGTTTCTCTTAATCTTACATTTAACTACTGAACAATTTAAAAAGAAATGACCTTTTTCAACACAGAAACTGAGATATATGTTAGAGGGAATCAAGGTTACGTGTATGACACCCAAAGGCAGTATACATTGGAAATAGTGTGTGCTGATAAACAAAGAAATGATTCCTCTGAGTTTTACATATACATCCTGCGTAACATGCCACCATATTTTACTAATATCCAAGGTAAATATTGATAAAAAGAAAACTCGTGTTAATGTCAGTTATAATGTGTATGTAATATAGAAGCCCGCCTCCGGGTGCGGGATTTTCTCGCTGTGTTGAAGACCCATTGGTGGCCTTCGGCTGTTTTCTGCTCTTTGGTCGGGTTGTTGTCTCTTTGAGACATTCCCCATTTCCATTCTCAATTTTATTTAACCAGTAATTTTCACTATAAAATGTATTGTCATTGCTAACTACAAAAAAAAAGGCAGATAAAGTTTGTGTTAGCAGGTAATTAATCATATCTTATCATTCTGGTTAATGAATATCCCTTATTCCACATTTGTCTTGTAGTAAATTTATTTACGTTGGAATCAATTATGCAAACAACAAAAATAAAATCCACAGAAAAAAATCACATATCTTTAACCCAAAGTTGATGCAGTCAAAAATAAGTATATTTGATCACATTAGGATGAACGCAAAGGACAAAAAACGTAAATTGCACACTGGAATTCCTAATTAAGATAAATATTAGGTTTTATTTCTACTTGGAAAAACATCCTACATTAATCTTTGTTTCATAAAAGTTTGACATCTGAAATTTTTGAAATCTTATTGTTTCAGATAAGTATGTAAGTTTAAAATAATTGGATTTATTATATATCTACAGATAAAACTACCGTACCGGCTAAAACCACGACTATTGGTCAGGTTATATTTACTGTACAAAGTATAGATCCAGAGAATGACAACTTACAATATACCATGACTAGTAGTAGTTTGACTGCACCTTTTCTGATAAACCAAAATAGTAAGTATATTTACATTTTTTTTATAGATTTTAACACAATGCTATGAAACATAAAAACATTAAATATATCTATAATCTATCGCAATATTTTTTTTATCTCGCCTAAAATGCTAACATTTGAAATGTAAATTCACCAAAGAATGACTAGACTATAAAGAGGATGTATCGTTTATTGCATTGAATTGATATGCTATGATGCTTACTCAAATGAACAACAAATATAAGTAGCAATAGAGAAGAACTTAATACTTGGTGGATATTTTGAGACTTTAAATGAGAAGGTTTTATGTATAATTATTTTGAAACAAATGACATATGTTGTACCTTTATGTATTTTTTACTCTGTATAGCTGGTGAAATATCACTTAGTCGATCCATAGCAGCTGAGTTAGTATCTGGATATGAACTATTCATAAGTGTATCAGATGGGAGGAATGTTGTTGCTAGTCGAACGCTATCAGTACGGATTACAGGTACATGATTATAATTAGATTTTTTCTAGCCCTGAAATTACTTTAACATTTTTAAAATTATATGTTCTTGTGCCAAAATTAATTTGATGTGTTTGAATCATGTAAGTGCAAGGATGTCAATTTCGATTACAAAACCTAATGATCATATTATAAATGGCAATACCTGATGTTCAGTGGTTGTCGTTTGTTGATGTGGTTCATAAGTGTTTCTCGTTTCTCGTTTTTTATATAGATTAGACCGTTGGTTTTCCTGTTTGAATGGTTTTACACTAGTCATTTTTGGGACCCTTTATAGCTTGCTGTTCGGTGTGAGCTAAGGCTCCGTGTTGAAGGCCGTACTTTGACCTATAATGGACTTATCTCATTGGCACTCTTATCTTCTTATATCTATGTACAAAACCTGGTATTTATTACACAACTTAGAAGTGTATGGATGCTATGATCACACGGTTAAAAAAGTGTACGCACCATCATAATTGCAAACTAAAGCTGGTTCAAGAGAAAAAAATGCCTATAGGGAACAAACCTTGTCATTTGAATAATCGTTAAACATCACTGTTTGTGTGTCTAAAAGAACACTATGGTTACATTGTTTTTTTATATATTCTTCTAAAAAATAAAACAAAAGTAAAACTATAACAGAGCGTTGGTTACACATTCTAAATGTGCACTTAATGCAGCAAAAACTATATTCCTTGCCTAAATACTACGGAACCAACAAGACATTAAGTGTCTTTTGGGTATTTTCGGAAGCATTTATTCGTATGGTCATTAAATATTTGGATCGCATCGACATATCTGAGAAAAAAAAACCTTGCAACTTTGTTAGTTCCCGCGGGTATCATCTACTCAGTAGTCAATGTTCGATACTGATATGATTATCAAACGTTTCTCAGATAGTTACAAAATGTAAACAAGAATACACAATTTATTTTATCGCTGTAAATATAAGAGGCAACAAGGGTTTACAAATACCGTATACCGCACATCCATTATGAATGTACAAATGGAGTAACAAAAATGATGGAAGCGCATGAACTCCAAAGAAAAGCAAAAATTCTGCTTGCATCGATAGGATAAGCGTCTCCCGCTATGCATGCATCATCTGTCATGAAAATCGAGAATTAATAAAAAATCACGATAAGGAGTAAGACACAATCAGTAAATATCAAGATCAGACGACCATGTTGATATATAGAAATATAAGATCGCAAAATGTCGCTCGTTCGTTAAGACATGGACAAAGCGAATCTTTGACCAATGTGCGTGAAGGTACCATAATGTCGTTTTCAGTTGTTCTAGATCTAGTCTAAATAATATTATGAAAAACCCAACAAAAGATGAAATATGAACTTTGAAATTATTTATATAATTTCAAACGAAACTAAATGTTCCTTAAGCTTTGCAATTCCTTCATTATTAGCACCGATGAACAAATGTATTTCCTAGACTTACAAACACCTTATCTTGTGGAAAGTAGTTTTATAGTATAACAAACCTCATCAAATATACCAGTCTTGTAGTTTTGTAAGACAGACGTGCGTTTCGACTGCAAAAGACTTGTCAGAGACGTTCGAATAAAATAATGTTAAAAGGTCAAATAAAGTACGAAGCTGAAGAGCATTGAGGAACCAAAATTTTGATTGATTGACTGAAAGATAGTTATTGTATAACGCCACTTTCATCACTATATGCTATTTCGCAGCGGCCAGTTTTTATTGGTGGAGGAAGCTGAGTTGCTCGGAGAGAACCATCGACCTTCGGCAGGAAAACTGGCAATCCAAGTCAATTAAGATTTGAGTCGAACGCACCTGCCACTTGCAATGTTCGAATTCACAACCTCAGCTTCGACAGGCTAGTGATTGTGACTTGGATGGATAGTTGTCTCATTGGCACTCATACCACATTATCTTAGTTATAGTGATGCAGAAGTTGAAATACTAAGACCACTCAGCCACCGAGCCCCACTTCCACTAAAAAAAATCCGCAAGGTTTTGCCAATACATCTAAGCTGATCGATTCTTACGATAGAAATGCTGACTACTGAACTGAAGCGTCATCGACCCAGCGGTATAGACTTTCAAAGAAAAAATGATTGAAAGCGATTTCAGTGTGCATCATACGTCCAGACACACTTATAAAAAACATATTTTAAGACTTAATTGTAAAAAAAACATCATCAATAACTAAAAGAAGATTTTATGTGCTTTGTATCGATCTGATGAGTTTTCAACTGATTTATTATAGTTTGTTCTTAATATGTTGTACTGTTATACTACTGTCCCAGATTATGGTGAGAGTTTGGCGCTAGAAAATATGTTTAACCCTACCATATTCTATATGAGCCTCTCCAAAGCCTGCAATTCAGTGGTTGTCGTTTGTTTCTGTATATCATTTAAAAAAAAATTTTTTATACATACATCAGGCCGTTAATTTTCTTGTTTGAATTGTCTTTTCGGGGCCTATTTATAGATTACTATGCGGTATGGGTTTTACTCATTGTTGAAGGCCGTACGGTGACCTCTAAATGTTAACTTCTATGTCATTTAGTCTCTGGTGGAGAGTTGTCATACCACATCTTATATTTATAAGTACCGAATTACTGGAAACCAAAATGGAAAATACAACTAAAAATGTTCCACTGTATAGTGACCAATGTTATACAAATGGTGAAGTTGAAATCATCCCTTCGTAAATTTTACGGACGCTATCACGAGTTGGTTGACCGTTATGGAATAACCGTTTCACAGATGATATCGGATATGTTCCTTATGTCGTAACTACAATACCCTTCCCTTTTCACGAATGTGATCTACCGAATTAGACTATTTACCGGATTTGTAATAACATAAGCAACACGACAGGTACCACATGTGGAGCAGGATCTGCTTACCCTTCCGGAGCACCTGAGATCACCCCCAGTTTTTGATGGGGTTCGTGTTGCTCAGTCTTTAGTTTTCTATGTTGTGTCATCTGTACTATTATTTGTCTGTTTGTCTTTTTATTTTTGGCCATGGCGTTGTCAGTTTGTTTTCGATCTGTGAGTTTGACTGTCCCTCTGGTATCTTTCGTCCCTCTTTTATATTGATGCATACAATATATAATGCTTTTTTTCAGAAATCAACAGTCCTCCAGAATTTCTAACTCCTTCGCACAATGTAAATATATTGGAAGGAATAAATATTGGTTCAACAATATTTCAACCAGTACTTACAGATGCAGATGTGTCAGATGTTCATACATTTTCCGTGTCATACTCACCACCAGAGGGTGCTGTTTATTTTCAAGTTGACTCGTCATGTACGTTTTATTTATTAATCAATATTTAAAGTGAACATGATGTATATCTAGTTAAATATTAAGTTCTTTTTTAAACCTGTAGTCTCGCAAATTTGCATATCACAAATTAACCTTTTTCTAGCAATAACTGAAAATGATAGTATAGTATTTTTTAACGTAAATTTTGTTGCAGAACTCATATTCATGTATTATGTAGATGTTTTCTTTACAGAATTTGTATTTATCATTTACACAATGTTCAAGATATAATAAGAGCAATTTTATTTGACGAAGAGTAAAGAAATTAATCATCGTATCATACAGTTGATGTATAAGCTTGTTAATCACTGTGTGATTTGACAATAACACTTTTTAGCTATAAATATTTCTTCAAAATTCCAAAATTTTAATAGTTGACATATTAGACAAAAACACAAATATTATCAGAGACAACAATATAAAAGCAATATATGAACTATATAGCCTGAATTGGCACTCAAATTGTTTTTGAGCCCAAACTCTCTAATAGAAAACACATAAAGTAAACTCTTCTTCATAAAATTAGCAACATTATTTCCACTAGCGATCAGATAAAATACCAGTAATATTTAAAAAATTTCGTCCTGACTTATAGACGGATTATTATCGAGATAAATTCTCTGGTATAACTTTAGACTTGTTGGTAAAAATAACAATAAGTTTTCAAATTTAACCTGAATTTAGTACGAAACTAATCAAATCGTATATCAAAAATAATATAAAAGATCATGTTCGGAAAATGCTGTGAAAATACACTCATCATTGTAGAAATTATTGTGTATTTAATATAGTTTTAAAAAAATAACATTGAAATCGAGATATCCGAAGTCATCGTTATACAACGCTACTTTCCATGTGATTTTAAGTGTTTTGTTTTTAATTATTTCAGCTGGATTAATAACATCGCTTGCTCAAATTGATTATGAGATTATTCCCTACAAAACATTCCTGTTGATGATTACGGGTTCAGATTCTCTGATAGAAGATTCCTCAAATATAACTCTGAACATACAGAATGTGAATGAACCTCCAACATTTACAAAGAAAAATTATGCATTCACAGAAACAGAGAATAGTGTAAGGTCTAAAGTGTTTTCACTGAATTTAAACCTAAATGTTAGAACACTGAACACTGCACATCGTTTGCGTTGTTTCTTATTTTCTTTATTAGCTCACTTGGCCCGTAGGACCAGTGTCAGCTTTTGCCATCGATAGGCGTCCGTTGTTTGTCGTCGTCGTCAGTTCACTTTTACAAATATCATCTCCTTTGAAACTACAGAGGCAAATTCAAACAAACTTAGCCACAATCCTCAATGGGGTATCTAATCTAAAAAATGTGTCCGATGACCCGGTAAAATAAAGTGTTTGTCTATTCATTTGAAAACCGCTATAGATAAAGAAAATTTGACAGATTAATAACTGTAACTTGCAAAACTTACAACAAGACAAGATCTACAATAAGTCAGCATAATGAACGATTTTTCCCAATTTTTTGCATATTTGAAAATTATAATAGATAGATAAAAACTTTAAATAGCAAAAATGATCAGCAAGACAAGATCTACAAATAAATCGTTAGTTGACTCCTTACTGAAGTTATTGTCCTTTAATGACGATTTTTCCTATTTTTTGAATTTTTGAATTCTTGCCTATTATTTTGAAAACTATAATAGATAAATAGAAACTTTAAAATGAAAAAAAATATCAGCAGGATAAAATCTATCTATACGTCAACATGACTGAAATTGTCAGTTAACTCTTAATACAGTTATTCCCCCGTAAATGATGATTTTCTACTAAAAAGTGACCGTTGTTACTGATGCAGGTGAGCGACACAGGCTCTTAAAAGCCTGTAGTTTTATATATATTGCAAACATTTTAACGATTTTTGTTTACAGTCGTCATTTTGAACTCCAATGAGTAATCAAAACAGTAGAAAGTAAAAAAAAAAACCAAACTATTTGTTTTATTGACTTTACAGTGTAAGAAATAACATTTGTTCTAAAGTGATAGGTCCTCAAACAATGTCTATGTATATATCCATGAAATTAGGAACAAGCTGTTATCGGTAAAAAAAAAAACACTAAATGTTTTTCCACACTGGGTACATTAAAGGGGCACTAGCTGTCAAATTCTGTTCACCGATTTGACTCAAATTCTCATATTAGAGTTTTAACAATGTAAAACATTTATCCAAATTATAAAAAGTTTTAAATAAACAATTTACAGGGCATAGTCTCGATAATATGTAGCTTCGTTTCGTGTGTATTTAGTCTAGACGCCATCTAATTAACTATCGAGATGACCCCGAAAACAACCGACAGTCACATGACACGATATAAACATAAACATCTATATCAATAGATATATGGACCTCGTGCAAATGGACTTTTCTATGTCTGTTTGATTTCAATTTTAAGGTTAAAAAAATAAGTTAATTTTCGATTTTACCTGTATAAGAATGATTTTTTTGTGGATCGAATCAGTCAATCAAATGATTTACCTTTGTTTCACTTTCAATGTTGACATTCTTTTCTTTTAATAGCCTAACACGCATAAATCATGCATAATCCATCTCTAGCTAAGGTGTTAAATTGAAGTTCACATGAATACGGATTCCAAGAGGTCGAATTATTCACTTGCAAGTGAATAATTCATCATCGATGATTCTTAGCTTATTTTGACAAAATTGAACCATACTGGCTGCTAATAGCGAATTTCACTATTTCACTTTCATTAATGATTGAACCAAAAAAATCATAATTTAAATTTTTTATTTATCTCGTAGCTAGTGCCCCTTTAAGAGAAATTAAAGTATCTACGTCTTTCATTGCGATTATAACTACAATTTTAATATAGCTACAATCTCACTGCGTTTATGTATTTGGGAAATTTTGTGTCCCTACAGAAACTGAAACATATATTGTGTCAGTTGACATTTGCTTCAAATATATTTTACACTGCACCAGTACCACTGATGGCTTACTGTCAGTTTCTAAGGGAACCATGCGTCAAACAGCCAGCTTTTCGGTATTTGCATTAATTAAATAATGCATGTAACAAACTTTTTAATTTATAGCTAATAAACATTCTGTGTAGCCTAATCACACACTTTGACAATTGTTGACGAAGACGAAACAACTCTCCTTAGTCTCGCAGACGAGACGAGAAAAACATTTAAGGAATGACTGTAATATTTTTTCTGTCTATGAAGAAATAACATAAAAAATGTGGTGCACACTGAATAACCAGCATAGCGGGTTATTTAAAAGTGTGCACCACATTTTTTAGGTTATTTCGAATAGACAGAAAAAAATATTACAGTCATTCCTTATAATTAAATTCTAAATTCCATTTTTAAAGAGTAAATTTTGAAAAAACGTTGGTGACGTCACGGTCACATGACAAAATTATGTCTATGAGCTGATAGACAAAACACTTTCAGCCAATCAGAAGACGTGTTACATCCAAAATTAAATTATAAGGTTGTAACAGACCTATTTTTCTGATTTTCCTTAGCGGACGTCTTAATAAACCAGCTTCCGACACTATCTTATGAAGCAAATTTTACAACAGGGATCATGTCATTAAAGCAGCAAGACACATTATTTCCCAGTTAGAACAATATACAAAGGTGTAAAATTGCTGCTAGGAATTTTTCATTACATAAATAATTTGTTGCAATGGTCAATGTCGATATTTCTTTTGTTAGTGTAACATTTTTGTCTAGTTTGTCTTATTGAAAAAGTTCAATATGTGTACTTTTTAGGATCCGCTTCCATGCTATTTCTAAATCCAGGTAGGTTGGTGGTCTAGTGGTTAAGACCGGTGGCTACAGTGCTGAAGGTCCTGTTTTCGATCCTGACTCGGGGCGCTGTAAATTTCAGTACATAAGAAGGGTGATTTTCACCCTCCCACACACATCTCTGGTATCCATACCGGAGTTTAAACTAGAATGGGTAATTTGGGGGTCTCGGTTGGTCGAAGTGGCCCCCGAGTTTGACCAGGAGGTCAATCTTCATATATCTCTTCGGTTTGTCTGTTCCCGTCGAGTTGCCCGGAGGTTCTCTCCGAGTACTTCGGCTCCCTCCACCATAATAACAGACTAGCACTCCCGTGGTGTTGGGTTGGGGATTTGTCCTAAGTGGTGAGTTGTACATATGTTAGTGACACATCACCATTAATTCTGTTAGGGAGTGTTCATGGATACCACTGTACCCTCGCAACATTCTAGGGGAGCTTCGAGTAATGGAGGTATCAACCCGAACATACATACATTTCCAGTATTTGTATCTTTATTGGACTCATTTCTATCGGTAGAAACGACATTCAAAATAAGTACTGTAAATTCAGATATTATTGCGACTTTGAAATGACAAAACTTTTCATGAAAAGCTGCATACGTATTGTATCCGATATCAGATATCAGAATGCAACTTCTTGTAATTGCGATACTTACTAATTCGAAGTAAATGCATTAATAACAACATCACAATAATGTCGGAATTTACAGTAACTAATTATGCAGTTTAAAATTTACTCCGGTTTTATAGTAGGACGATTGTTTATAATTTCTATGATGATTTTCTTATTTCTGAAGACTTATTATGACAATGCAAATACTGAAACTACTTATTTACAAAACAATTTCTAATGAACAAAATTTGAAACGAGGAATACTTATGTGTACACCTTTCTTATAATAAGCATGCATACAGGATCAATTATTTCCATTCTTTTTTGTTTTTCCAGGCAGGAACTGTTCTACAAAATCCATATTACCAGTACACAGATGAAGATGGAGATACTTTAAAATTTTCATTTGACTGTGGCGTCGACACAGGTAGATTGGACATGGATTCAACCACAGGACTCCTGTCTTACTCAATTGATTATGATTTAGATGAAATTGGCACTGCATCCCAAATGAACTGTGATGTTTACATTAGTGATACTGAGTACTCTGATACTGCTTACGTGAATATTACCGTGCTTAATGACAATGATAATTCACCCAAATTTGATCACCCTGAATACACTTTTTTTGTACCAATCAGCACAGGAGTTGGGTCTTTTGTTGGACAGACACAAGCAACAGACTTTGATATAGGAAGTAATGGTTAGTAAATATCTTTGGAAATATTGTGATTTGTTTAGTTACATAAAATGTGAACATTTAAAATATGTAGTTTACTTAGCTATATCTGCTTTTTGCAAACATAATATGAGACTAAATAGCCAATATTTTCTTTCGGGATTTTAATGTCAGTTTAGGATTTACTACGATTTAAGTCAAATTTACTGCTGAATTTCCTGGTAAAAACAATTATTCTAATTACTTCTTGATCAGATATATGCCAGTTACCAATATTTTTCCGAGTATTCTCCAAATATACAGAAAAAAGTAAATTTTAATTAAAGTATACACCTTATATAGATGGATAAACATCTCAATAGTAAGATCCCTGCATCTTTATAAAGCATGACATACATCACTGACACAAAATGGCTCAAACCTCAAAATTTGAAAACCGATTTTTCGATTAAATAATAGAAAATAAAAGTGCTAACAAATGAAATCTTAGACACAGATTAGATAAGGAACAAATAAGACAAAGTTTTGTTTCATATTCATTGAATTATTTTAGGTAGAAAGCATGCACTTAGTAATGATACTTTTGAAATAATAATTTACTTTAGAGAACATAAAAGATTGAAAGACATTTGAATATATACCCGAATTACGATTGTACTTTCTGATAAGGGTACACAGTTGGTCTATTGAACTCCTATTATAGTTTACAAGGTAGAATTATGTAGAAAAAATAAAATATATAGAACATGTGCATCTGCTTTTGTATTTAATTTTAAATAAAATAACCACTTGTTGAACTTCAGTAGAATTTTGGGAAAATTTCCGATATAGTGGACCAGTTATGTCTTTGAAACTCCTCTGAAAGGTAGAACCTATGTATGTTGCCAAAATACTGAACATATAATGAAGATGTCGATGTGGGAAGGATTTTGATATTCCTCAATTATTCAACAAAATTTACTGGTCGTATATCTTTTCAATTTTGGTGTAAATATTCATATATGGTACATGGTATGTCAATCTTACGACTGCTATATTTAACTGGAATGTTTGTATATTGTAAAATAATCGAAAATACACTGAAGGTATGTTTGTGGGATTTGTCCGTGTATAAATTTATAGCGGGCGGTGATACCGATCAATGAAATCACAACCATCAGTATGATAAAAACAAAATTAGAATTTTGAAATTAAAATTTTTTTTTAGATGTCTGGAATTTATTGATGATCATATTTGTATTTAACAGACACATATTGATTATGAACAAATAACACAGTATTTCTTCTTTAAAATCATGTATTCATATGCTTTGCTAGAACAAACTTCAGTTTTGGAATTACCTAATTAAATCATATCAGACCACTTATTGTCTTATCAAACTTGACAGCTGATTTTGTTTACCGATATAGAGGGAAATTTAAGCTTTTAAATTTTCTGCAACAACACATAAGATTAAAGATATATGATTTTGTAGTAGAAGTAAAAAAGAAAGAGATGGTAACGATAATTCTGTTGAAAGGACTAATGCTGTCAAAGAAAGAGAGTTTCAAAACTATTAAAAAATTCAGATGTATGTTAACTTAGGATAAACAAATCAACTACTGTTGTTTCTGTGAAGAATAATTCTACACAAAAGTAGAATGAATACAATTATATCATTTAATTGATGAATAATTATGCACAACTATCAAAATATGTCGTACTTTTTCGGATTCGTGTACCCATGTTCTATGCGGTAATACATAAATTTATAATTTTATTAGTACTTCAAATATGTTTAATGAAGTGACATATTAGCACGCAACTTGAAATATTTTGCAGGCGATGTCCTTTATCACATTACACAGGAAGGCGTTAGCAATGCTTTGTTTGAAATTGACGAAAATGGTTCAATAAAACTTAGCCAAAGTCTAACTAGTTATACCGAAGGGTCAGAGTTAAATTTAACAGTTTATGCTGTGGATTCTGGTGGAAGACAAGATACAGCTTTAGTTTATATTGTACTTCCTGTTCCATATGAATATACAGCTTCGGCACAAAATGAAATACAGTACATGACCTTTTTTACGTATGCTCCAAATATGGCCTGGTTTGTTCCATTGGTGTTCGTTTTGTCGATTACATTGTGTGTTGTTATTCATACACTATACACTTCAAAGTGTTCATGCAAAATATCAAAACGGTAAGTAAATTTATTGAATAAGCAAGCCTTTATAAATTCTAAAGCGATCAAATATGATCTAAAATCATTAGTTAGGAAATATGGTTGAACATGTAAATCATGAACTATGAAGTATTTTGGCTTTATTTTAGATATAATGTCTTGCTAATTTTTTAGAAATTTGTTCTGCAATCAGGTGTTGTTTTTTGTTTGCTATGGTTAAACACCTTCAGTTCATAAGTTTACTTTTAGTAGTTAACGATGTTCAAATCTCTATATATATATACCTACTATGGTACTAGCAATTCTCACAGACAAACAATAAAGATAGATGTGAATGAATAAATGGGAATGACTTTAAAAACAAGTCCTTATTCATTGTTATTGCATGCAATTGAATCTTTCGATGAAACAAAATATTAAGAATTTCAAATCAGTCATCTATGTGGGACAGGAAATCAATTGTCGTCACCTAATTTTAGATGTAATCTCTTCTCATTCATTTTCAGGAAAAACAATAAAAGAAAGAGAAGAATTAGGCGACGACTTGAAAGATATTAGTTTAGTCACATACTTTAAGAAGACTTTTTTTAAACGTTTTTCCATAAAAGAAAGATAAAACAGTTAACGAACTCATCAAGATCAAGAACATAGGAAATAATAATTCTGCAAGCCTGTTAAAACTAATTCTATTGATACAATTATTTACTGATAACAATAACCATAACCTTAATATCAATGGTAATTTTATTTAGAAAAAGACGCTGAATATACCATGGTGACATTTAAAACTCATAAGTCGAAGATAAACTGACAACGCCATGACAAATACTATGGGTGACCGCAGGTGTGCCGAAAGGGTTTGAAGATCCTACTACACTTGTGGCATCCTACTACACTAGTGGCATCCATGACGTTGCTCATGGTAAGTGCAAATTCGGTGATGAGTTTACTTCGGTGATGTCACAATCGAGAAAATCGAGTTGAATACAAAACTTAAAGACAAAATAGATGATTTTAGCTTCCTAATCATGAACTTTCCATTTCTCTGTAGCAACATTCCATCCCATCAGCGCCGGTATATGGAATACATATATCTAAGTATATCTTTAGGTATCCATGCGTTTCTATCATTTTGCAATATTAAAGTGATGAAGAACTTTATCAATATAATCATCAAAATAGTTAAAATATTGTAATCATACTCTCATGTATATAATTATGTAAATATTGTTCTGTGGAGTTGCAACCATCATTCATAATATATATTATATGTTGTTACCTTGTGTTGACTGTGTATATTGCCTCTTGTTTTTTAATAAAGTATTTACTTATGTTAAGTAAACACGACATTCCAGAGCTTTGAGTTTCTATCACGATTTCTCTGAAAGAGAGTTGTTTCTTACAAGGAAGCTATTAAACCAATGGTTCCAAGTGATAAAATTAAGTTTTTACGGGTACCCTCACGAGTTGGTAAACCGTTATGAAATGTCTGTTTCACCGATGACGATGAATATGTTTCAATTGTGGTAACCACAATCCCGTCCTATTTTTCTTGAATTTGTGTGAGCCACATGACGGGTGCCACATATGGAGCAAAATCTGTTTACCCTTCCGGTGCACCTGAGATCATCCCAGCTTTTGGTGTGGTTCGTGTTGCTCAGTCTTTAGTTTTTTCCATATTATGTTTCGTAGAATGTTGTTTGTATTTCCGTCGTTATTCATTTTTCGCTATGACATTGTCAGTTTGTCTTCTACTTATGAGTTTGAATATCCGTTTGGTCTTCCGCCTCTCTTTTATCCCTTCCGAAAACAAGACATTTGTATCTACGTTCGCCAATTTTTTAAGGAAATAAAGTTGGACTAACTGTTTCAATCTGTCTTTAAGTTAAGAATGGGGAATACTAGTGTAAAGACTCATCAAAGATACCAGGTTCATAATTTGACTAGCGTTCGTCTACATAAAGACTCACCAGTGGCGCACAAAAATTGCAAAAATTGGGTCAAATGTAGCTAAGGGCTTAGTGTTTCGAATGATTAAAATTTTATAAACAGAATATTTACTCAAAGTGTAGAGTAGTTTAATGTTTTTGTACTATTGCAAGAGAAAATAGACTTATATTATATGTAGTCTTACATGTCTTTGGAATCTTTAAGTATCCCCATCTAGGATCTAACCCTACAGTAGGTAGTTTCACAGTAACTCTGACTTTGATTGCTGAGTAAATTGATGTTAATAGCTTAGAAAGTTTTCATGGAGCACTTTGCAGACCCAGCAATATAACGTTGTTGATGAAGTTCCAATTACACCTTAAAGTCTTTTGCGATATAAATAGGTAGTTTTTCTAAATACGAATGAAAATATAGAATGTACCGTAACGGTCAATCTGGCAGCAGCACCAAAACATAAGCTAATAAACTAGACATCTAGAGGTCAAAATATGGTCTGAAGACAAGATTACATTCAAGGCACAAATACCTTCGAGTCTTAAGTGAACGAATATATATATATATGTATTACTTACACCCCTAAATACACATTATTATACAATCAAACCTGTATTAAGAGACCACTCAAGAGAGAAAACAAAAATAATCTCTTGATACAGATGGTCTTTGAATACAAGTTCTCGCTTTTGACTAGAAGGAATCATTCATCAGCATAATTTACGTACTAATGTAAATATAATGTTGTGGTATCATTGTATTCGTTAAAATAATAAAATTACACTATAAAATGTTTGTTACTTGTTTGGTTTATATATTTTTTATTGTATTTGTTAACTCAAGAAAAGTTCCTGATTATATTAAATCCTTTCCCATTCATGTTCATCCATGTAATTGTATCCAAGGATTATACCCTTTACATATTCTTTCAGTTTTCAACACAAATTATACAAATGGCTTAGCTATTAGTATTATATCACTGAATCAACAATATGTTTTCTTTTGAGAAAGGACCCTAATCATCGATTTAATACTCTAAATAAAGGCAATAGTAGTATACCGCTGTTGAATAGTCATAAATCGATTTAACTGAAACAAATCCGGGTCACAAACCAAAACCGAGGAAAATACTAACCTATAAACATTTTCATTTGACCGTTTGTTGCTTTTATCGTTGTGCAGACACATCATTTTTTTGTAATGCAATATTGTTAAACCTCTAAGTTCATCGTCACCATTTTGGGCACATTTTTTATTTCAGTTACTTTTATTCGTAATGTAATCAGTTTTTAAAGCAATTCTTAATCAATTAATGTCTTTCAAAACAACATTTGAAACTTCAAATATTTTGTAATTAATGACCTGTGGCCTTGGTATCAAGGTATAGACGTCCTGCTTGTTGAACTTAATGAAATACATTGTATGAATAATTCATGAGGTGAACATCTAATTGTAAAGGTCAAATGTAATTTATATTGTATATCGTAAAATGAAAACAACACTTTATAAAGTTCATGCGTCCGATTCGTTTTTCTGGATTTACCTTCATCAGGAACGGTCTAAGCCGAATATTCGAAAGCCATGGATGTATGACAAAAAAAGGACTTAATAATAGCCAAATTCATCGAGTCTATTTCTATAAGAGGAATGCCATAAGAAGCACTAGAAATCAATACTAAAACTGTACAATATTTCAGTACTAGAGAATTAGTCAGCAAATAATTTCTGGACATACTCTTAAAAACCCAGACAGCAACAGTATTTAGGTAACAGTACAAACATTACGAAGAAATCAGTCCTGAATTGATAGAAAGTATAAAATTTCTCGTTTCTGTCTGATAATTCGTCAATACAGAGGGTAGGAACGTACCAGCACATTGTTAGTATATGACATTGTTTATGTTAATGATAAGAAAAAGACGTTGAAATACATGATTTGTCAATGTTTTATACCTCATATTCCAACAGATATTGTTTATACAATTGTAACTGTTAGTCATCACCGCGTCATTTCCATGCCATTGTAAAACTAGAGGTTCTAAAAAGCCTATGTCGCTCATCTAGGCCTATGTGCATCTTCAACAAAGGCCACTCTCCAACATTTTGGACTAGAATAGAATTCATGACAAAAGTTTCATTTTTGTTGACCTTGGGTTGCATATAATTTTTTCTGTTTTTTTGCTATATGAAGTGTCTATCTATCTATCTATTATAGTTTTCAACATAATAGGCCAAAACACTAAATATGGATAAAAGAGCAGCAAGTCCAATAAGGAGTCATCAGACAATTTTGGATATGTCAACTTATTTGTAGATCTTGTCTCATTTTTTGCCTATTTAAGTTTCTATCTATCTAATATAATTTGAAAAATTATTCGCAAAAACGAAAAAAATGGCAAAATTGTCATTATAGATTAATAACTCCAATAAGGAGTCGTCAGACTAATTTGTAGATCTTGTCTTGCTGATTATTTTGTTTATTTTAATTTCTACCTATCTGTTAAACTTTTTTTTAAAACAATAGGCAAACACGCAAAATATTGCTAAAAATCGTCATTAAAGGCCAATAATTCCAATATGGAGTCGACAGAAGATTTCGGCTATGTTGACTTATTTGTAATTCTTGTCTTGCTGATTATTTTTGCTATTTAAAGTTCTCTCTATCTATTACAGTTTTCAGGATAATAGGGAAAAATGAAAACAATTGGCAAATTCTCCATTTAAGGTCAATGACGCCTATAAAAAATCGTCTTACAGTTATCACGCAGACAGACAATAGTGTCTCAAAATTTTTACATTTTTGCCCCTGTCAGATTTTCTCTATTTATAGCGGTTTTTCAGAATAGAAAAAACTTGCATTTTACCCCTATGTTCTATTTTTAGCAATGTTGACCATTTTGGTTGGCAAGTGGAGTCATCGGACACATTTGTTAATTTAGATACCCTAATGATATATGTGGCCAAGTTTGGTTAAAGGCCCAGTAGTTTCAGAGGAGAAGATTTTGGTAAAAGTTAACAGACGAAGACGACGGACGACTATGATGACGGACGCCAACTGACGAGAAAAGCTTACTTGGTCCTTTGGGCCAGGTAAGCTAAAAAACATATTAAGGAGAAATCATAAATCATAAGCCGCAAGCAAACACGTTCTGGAATAGTTTACCAACATCGAGATATATACTCCACATGCAAAAGGAAAAACTGAAAGCATCTCTTATCGTAAAGTTAAGTTGTCAATCGACCCGGCATTGTCATTATAAAGTCAAGAAAAGAATCCGACTTAACTGTATCTGGATATCTCCTTTATTACAAGTCCGAATGGATACAAGCGATCAACACAATCACCAAACTTGGAATTAATTAGTGAAAGGTCATCAACTATAGAGCAAAATGTGAAGTTAAATGATAGTACTAGCTTTTTCCATTCATCTCCTGTATGGTGTCTGTCTCATATGAATAAAAGAACAGGTCGACAATGAGATCTCACAGTTGGTTCCTGTAGAAATAAAATTGAGAATGGAAATAGGGAATGTGTCAAAGAGACAACAACCCGACCAAAGAGCAGAAAACAGCCCAAGATCAGTTTTCAACACAAATTATACAAATGGCTTATCTACTAGTATTATATCACTGAATCAATGATATTTTTTCTTTTGAGAAAGGACCCTAATCATCAATTTAATACTCTAAACTAAGGCAATAGTAGTATACCGCTGTTCAATAGTCATAAATCGATTTAACAGAAACAAATCCGGGTCACAAACCAAAACCGAGGAAAACACTAACCTATAAACATTTTCATTTGACCGTTTGTTGCTTTTATCGTTGTGCAGACACATCATTTGTTTGTAATGCAATATTGTTAAACCTCTAAGTTCATCGTCACCATTTTGGGCACATTTTTTATTTCAGTTACTTTTATTCGTAATGTAATCAACAGTTCAGTTTTAAAGCAATTCTTAATCAATTAATGTCTTTCAAAACAACATTTGAAACTTCAAATATTTAGTTATTAATGACCTGTGGCTTTGGTATCAAGGTATAGACGTCCTGCTTGTTGAACTTAATGAAATACAGTGTATGAATAATTCATGAGGTGAACATCTAATTGTAAAGGTCAAATGTAAATTATATTGTATATCGTAAAATGAAAACAACACTTTATAAAGCTCATGCGTCCGATTCGTTTTTCTGGATTTACCCTCATCAGGAACGGTCTAAGCCGAATATTCGAAAGCCATGGATGTATAAGAACCGAAACACTTGACAAGCTATATGACAAAAAAGGACTTAAAAATAATAGCAAAATTCATCGAGTCTTTTTCTATAAGAGGCATGCAATAAGAAGCACTAGAAATCAATACTAAAACTGTACAATATTTCAGTACTATAAAATTAGTCAG